CAACCAATTCAAGCAGCCAGACCTAACCCCCCCACCCCACCCCCACCCCCCACATACACACAAACATGTGTAAATCAGATATCAGAAAATCCTGTGCACATGAGATTTTACACATGCTGGCCTCCCATTACATGTGCGAATTCTTTATTCTACTGACATGGATATTTTGAGGTAGGTTACATCAGTGAACCATGATCAGGGTGCAGGGGATACTGGTAGTTCTTGACTTATGGCCCACATTTCTGTTGCTAAGAAAAGACTCTTGTTAAGTGAGTTTGCCCCATATTATGACCCTTGTTGCCACAGTTGTTAAGTGAATCACTGCGGTTAGTAGGTTAGTAACACGGTTAAGTGAATCTGGCTTCCCCATTGCTTAGCCATTAAAGCTTTAAAGCAGCTGCATCCTTTACAAGAGTAACACAGTTGCTTCAAAAGTTATCTCCAGATAGTATGGAAGTACATACACTGTCATTTTGCTTCCGTGGCAATCTCAGTGAAAGTATTGTGTGAACAGGCACAAGTAATAATTGGAGACAACCTCTGAAGCAGCCATGCAAATTTTTTTGCCAAGGAAGCAGCTGCTGTAACACTACATAGGGAGGCATTGTGGGTGCTCGTGTGCTGTGTAAAGCACCTTTTCAATGGTTGTCAAGATCCCTGCTGAGTATTCTTCCTCTGTGGACGGCAGATCAGAGCTATTACTTTCATGAAAAATATCAAAACCCGGAGAAGTGATTCTAGAAGCCAGCATTACTATTTCCACTGAATGGCTAACACCCTTATCACAACTGGCTGTGGGTTAAGCAAAAACCAAGCAAACGCCTGAGAGCAATTGAGGCAGGACAAGAAGTAACAGATGGAAGATCGTTAAAGAAAAATCCAACCTAGAACTAAGGAGAAATTTCTTGATATTGAGAACTATTAATCGGTGGAATGGCTTCCCTCCAGAAACTATGGGTGCTCCATCCCTAGAGATTTTCAAGAAGAGATGTTGGACAACCATTTGTCCAGAATAATATAGAGTCTCCTGTTTGATCAGGGGGGAGGGATGGACTAGAAGACCTTCAAGCTCCCTTCTAACCCTATTATTCTATGTTTGGTGTTTTAACATCCAGCTGGATCCAGCAGGCCTTAGTGGGTCACTGTGAGCATTGACTACAATGGTTTGTTGGAAAGGGCTGCAAATGTTTGCCAATGTTTATCTCTGGGTCAATATTGACTCCACTTCGTTTCAGTCTTGAGATACAAAGCTCAACTCTGTTAAGTTCTTGAGTGTGCCAAAGAAAGTTGTCACTTCCCATCAAACTGGTTTCATGCTCCCATAAATCTGGTAGCAAAGTGCCAGAGGATCTTTTCAAATTTCTTTCAACAAAGAATGATCTCCAAAACCCAAGAAAAATACACAGAGTTACTTCTGAGCAGATTCCTTTATTGTCCTTCACCTATAGACAGCAATCTTGCCAAAACTAAAGCAACTACTTGCATCATTAGAGATGTACTCTGAGAATTGTTAGGGTGAGCCGTCTTAACTCTCTTTCACCCAGCCAAACTATCTAAACTTCGCTGTCTCTTGGTCCTCTGGAATGAAATTCCTCCCTCCTGGGAATCCAGACTATATTCCACCACAAATGAACTGTCCGCTGGTTATTTTGCTATTACAGAATTTATTGAATTGTTAGATTCCCTTCTTCCTTCAGAAACTCACAGAGACTTGCACAAAGATTTTCTTTCATTAATCCTCACAACCACCTGCAAGTCAGGTTGGGCTGAAAGAAAATGACCAGCCCAATGTCAGCCAGCCAATTTCCTGAGGATGGGTTCCAACTTGGTCCAGCCATTTAATCCTAGGGGCATCTGTAGAGGGAGGGAGTGAAAAAAGTCAAGATGTGGGCCATGGAGGTGAAGTGAAGCCCCACCCCTTTTTATAGCCCATATCAAAAGGGGGTGTGGCTTTGATCACATGCTCACAACTGCCATCTTGACTTTTTATCCTCTACTCACAGATCCCTTATTAACCACTTACTGTTCAGTTCAATTTGACTGAATGTTGAGATACAATATTGCAAATATTGTATTTCAATACAATCCATATCTTCATAATTTTTTCCAATATTTCAAGCAGCAGGTTTAAAAGTTTTGTGCCACTGGAAATATTACGATTCAAATCTTAAAAGATATTTAAGATTAAGACGTTCCATTTCTTTTCAGGTTATTAAGGAATATAATCCTTCTTTGGCCTTGGAAGATAGGAACCCTAAGTACAATGAGCAACTTTAATGAACAGAGAGCCAGTTTGGGCTAATGATTAAGGCATCAGTTCAGAAAACAAGAGATGGTGAGTTCAAGTCCTACCCTAGCCATGAAAGACAGCTGGATGACCTTGGTTTAATCACTCTCTCTCAGCCCAAGTCACCTTATAAAGTTATTGTTTTCTTGAGTGGAGGATTGGACTAGATGACCTCCAAGGTCCCTTCTATTCTATTCTATTCTATTCTATTCTATTCTATTCTATTCTATTCTATTCTATATTGTCATCTGCATAAATTTGACCTTTTATTGTTTTGCAATTCTCTTTTGACAGTGCATTTCAAAATTATTATTATTATGGGGTAACACTTGAAGTAAATTACTGATAAGAAGCAACCTTGAATTCAGTGAAATAATCAGCTAGTGTTGGTTAACTGAATCTGATTGGGACTTCTAAAAGGCATATTTGTTTAGAGAGCTGGCATCAATTGAATTTAATTAACAGTTAAGAAAATAATTAACACTGCTGGAAAGGTAGTAGGTCCTATGGGATCTATTCCATTAAAAGCTAAAATAACCCTGTATTTGGAGGTAATGGGAAAATGTGTGTGAGAGATAAATCAGGAACAGCTAGGATGAACAAAAATAATTTAGAAGGCATATCTTTTCTGCCAAGGTACCTGCCCTCTGGAATAACATCCTCTCCTCGGTTCCCACCCTGCAGCTGTTCTGCAGGTTTTTAAAAGCTGGCTCTGCTCCCAAACCTGGGCTTAAGGTGGCTGTCAAGCCTCTGATCATTTGTTCTGGAAGTACACGTCTTTCTTCTTTCCTTTACTGTTTCCTAGTTTTGGGCATACAGGTTGCCCAGAGTTCTTGGGAGTTAGGCAGCCTCTAGATCCAATAAATGAATAAATAAAGAGTGAGAGAATCAGGGAGGGATGAAGCTGGTGAGACTCTCTGCAAGAAAAAGATGAGAAGATTTAAGAACAAAAGGCAATGGCTGCAAGTGATGGATGGGTGTGGGAGAATGACAAGGACAAATTATGAGGACAGAAAGGTGCGGAAAAGCAATGTGGGGAAAGAAGGGCAACTGAGATGATCAAAGGCCTGGAGGCTAAAACATACGAAGAACGGCTGCAGGACTTGGGTCTAGCTAGTCTAAAGAAAAAAAGAAATAGGGGAGACATGATAGCAGTATTCCAGTATCTGAGGGGCTGCCACAAAGAAGAGGGGGTCACGTTGTTCACCAGAGCACCAGAGGGAAGGACGAGAAACAATGGTTGGAAACTGATCAAGGAGAGAAGCAACCTGGAATTAAGGAGAAACTTCCTGACAGTGAGGACAATTAACCAGTGGAATAGCTTGCCCCCAGAAATCGTGGGTGCTCCATCACTGGAGATTTTTTTAAAGAAGAGACTAAACAATCACCTGTCTGAGATGGTGTAGGTTCTCCTGCTTGAGCAGGGGGCTGGACTAGAAGACCTCCAGAGTCTTCTAGATCTATTCTATTCTATTGAAAAGAAGTCTATTCTTCCTGAAATATCCCGAAAGTCTGCTGAAATATACCATTGTGGTGACACACAGCACCATTTGTGTCATTTAAATACAGTAATTTGCATGATGTCATTACAGTTAAACCTCGACTAATGACCACAATTGAGCCCAAAATTTCTTTTGCTAAGTGCGACGTTTGTTAAGTGAGTTTTGCCCCATTTTACGACCTTTCTTGCCACAGTTAAGTGAATCACTTAACAGTGGTTAAATTAGTGGTTGTTAAGTGAATCTGGCTTCCCCATTGATTTTGCTTGTCAGAAGGTTTCAAAAAGGGGTCACACGACCCCAGGGCACAACAAGTTATAAGCAATGGTGGGATTCAAATATGTGAACAACCGGTTATCTGTGTGGATGCCGCTTCCGGAAGTCCATTCTGGGTCTGGGCAACAAAAAATTCTGCTGAACTGGTGCAAACTGGCTGAATCCCACCACTGGTTATAAGTTGTAGGGCAAACTCTTGCCCTGGGGGTATTGGTTCTAGCGAGTTGCTGGTATATATAGGTAGTCCTCACTTAACAACCTGTAAACTTAGTGACAATTTGATGTTACAACGGATTGCCCAAAAGGTACTTATGACTCAGTTCCAGAATTCTGATGCTTGCACACCTTTCTGTGGTCACATGATCGGATTTTGGACACCTGTCAACCGGCTCACTTTTACGGTTGATTGCAGCCTTCTGAGATCGTCTGACTGTAATTTATGGCAATTTTTGCTGATTTCTGTCCTTTTCAGCCAGTTTCTGGCAAAAAAAACCCCATAGGAATTAATGGACTCACTTTATGACCACTGAGCTTGCTTTACAACTGTCGCAAAACAAGGTTGTAAAGTCAGGTTGGTCACGTGGGTACCTCGACTTAATGACTGACGTGGCTTACGATGGAAATTCTGGGCTCCATTACAGTCGCAAGTCAAGGACTATGGTGTGCAGCTCTCAGCACCCACTCAAAGGCTGAGTGGGCCTCTTGCTGAAATTATAAGAACCACGGCTAAATTAACTTCTACCAGGGGTTGTAGAAGTTCTACACTGCAGATATGTAGATTAATGATGTAGGCAGCTGCCATATAGGGCTGTTTTTATAAGAGTGCCATGGAAGTTCTGGGCTGGCTTTTATCCCAGATGAAGTGGTCCAAAAACCTGTTCCTCCCAACACCCCACCCTCATTAAAAACGATCAACTGTATGAATTCAAGTTACCTTCATTCCCGATGCAGCTGCTGGCCCACTGGGATCCACTGCTTGCACGTGGCAGGGCTTAGTCCCTCGCACCACAAATCCCCACCCAACAGCATCACCTATAATCTTAAAGGAAAAGAAGAAGATGGCCACACTGAATCTTGTTAATAATCTCTCTCTCTCTCTCTTCTTTCTTTAAGCAAAGCAATGGCATTTGATGTTCGGTATTGATACAGTGATTTTAATCTACAGCCTCACTTCATTCCTGTCTAAAAATGGCTAAACCTCTCGTAAAGCAGGTCATTCTGGAGCAAATTCTTAAGTACAACTACATCCCTCTGTACGTGCACATGAAATCAGGAGATTGTGAGGTTTAGTCCTGGCTTAGGCATGGTGTTTTTGTGCCAATCACTCTCATTCAGCCAAAACCACTACACAGGATTGTTGTGGGGAAAATAGTATGTATATTCACCACATTGAGTTACTTATAAAGCAATAAAGGCAGGATAAAAATTGGAAGGAAGGAAGGGAGGGAGGGAGGGAGGGACAGTGAATATGAAGGTGTTCTAACTCTTATTTTGAGAGACCACAATAAACATCTTAAAGACAGAGTAAACATAGCTCATTTTTAGCCCCTGCTTTCTTCAAATACTACATTCATCTATCTTTTAAAAAAAATCACCCACCCAACTTGCAGTGCACCTGTTGGAAATTATCCAAGACATTTACCAACAGATTCAACTTCTCTCTACAGTGAGGAGTAATGTCTTTCCTTTGGGCCAGCAAAACAACAACAGTGTAAGGTGAAAAGTTTGTGAAGAAGCCCCTATTAACTCATCTATAGTGTTTTCCAAATCTGCATTCCAAGAAGTGTCAAGAAAGCACAGCTTAATTGTAGGCAATTTTCCACCTGAGAGACCAAAAAGCAGAACTAATCTGAAGCCTTTATACTAAATAGACTATAGGTTAGTATATATGCTATCTTTGCTCAGATAATGCATATAAAGTGTTTCTTCTAAGTTGCAAAGCCTCCCATGTTCAAAATGTTTCTATACAAATGTGTTTGTATGCCTATGGGTATGTGTACAGTATTCATATATATGTGCATATGTGTGTGTCTACTTGTATATCTGTATATGTATCTACTGTATCTGTATATAGGTAGTCCTCAAGTTATAACCATAACTGAGTCTAGCAATTACAGCCGTGAGTCATGACAGCGGTAAAAGGGAGTTGCCATGCGACTGGGCCCAATTATATGACTTTTCCTGCAGCAGTCATTAAGTGAACATCACGGTTGTTATATGAACTCATTGTTCACTATGGGTTGTTTTTTCCCCAGAAACAGGAAGTAAATGCTAGTTTCTGACAAAACCGTTATAAATCATAGTCACACAATTATGGGACACTACAAATGGCCATAAATGAGGCTGGCTGCTGAGTCCAAAAATGTCCTCACACGACCATGGTGCAGAGTGACTTTGGAACTATAAAACCAGGTTGTAAGTCCCTTTTGGAGGGTCCGCCCTAATTTTGAACGGGTGCTAAGTGATCGGTCATAAGTCAAGGACTACCTGTATATCTGTCCAGCTCATTTCTTGGCAACTGCATGCATGTGTTTGTGTAGTTTTTACTGGCAGCCATACTTCCTTGACATTTCTTGCTGGTGTCCCATCCAAGTACCAGCCCATTGCAACCCTGTTTAACTTTCTCCAGCTAGGCGCATAAAAACACATTGCCCTAATCTTATTAATCATATTTATAAGATGATTTCAAAATGACTGTGTTATTTCTATACTGCTGCACGAAAATAGCCTTAGGACCTCAAATTACACCACTGTCAGGTTCAGCACCAGAAATTTAATAGCTAAAAGTCTAAGCAATGGTCGCAACATTGCATAAACCTTTGTGGATAATAAATGATCAAATATAATATATAAAGATGTGAAACAGAAACTTACAGTGAATGTTTTCCGAGCATATGGCGCCCCAGGCCTCAAAAGTTCCTCAGGAGTCACTGTTCTTTTTAGTACTGGGGGGGGAAGGGAAGGAAAGACACCTAAATAAGATTTGGTTCTAATTATTCTTCAGAGATTGAAGCTGCTTCCAAATTAGCAATATAATCTGGAATTGTCCAGCTTCATTCAGTTTATTTTTTTTAACAAAGGTTATATTGCAACTTCTGTTTTTTTCTTCTCCCAAAGATGACCTTTTCTAAGAACAGGTTACTCTGTACCTGCTTTAAGAAGGAAACCATGGGCAATTTTTCACAACCGTCAAAGACATCAAATGTTCAATGACAACAAAGTGATTTATAGAGCGCCCAAAATAATCCAGACGTGCTCAAACTATGAAGTTCTAAGGGAAAAGGCTGGAGAGCAGGAAGTGCCGTCTTGCCTCAGAAAACATATAATAAAAACTAAGCTGGCTGCTGATTTGTGCTTCTCCTTTTCACAAAGTCTACAGGTGTGTTTTGACATTTGTGCACCTGCCCAGGAAATGCCCGGTTTCCGAGCATTTAAATCAGGGGTCTTCAAATGTGGCCCTTTTATGACTTGTGGACTTCAACTCCCAGAATTCCTCAGCCAGTGTGCCTGGCTGAGGAATTCTGGGAGTTGAAGTCCACAAGTCATAAAAGGGCCATGTTTGAAGACCCCTAATTTAAATCCAAAGAAACAAAACACAGTTACAACCTTGTAAAGGTAGTCTTCGACTTATGACCATAACTGAGCCCAAAATTTCTGTTGCTAACATTTGTTCAGTGAATTTTGCCTCATTTTGTGACCTTTCTTGCCACAGTTGTTAAGTGACTCACTGCAGTCATTAAGTGAGTAACCCGGTTGTTAAGTGAATCTGGCTTCCCCATGGACTTTGCTTGTCAGAAGGTTGCAAAAGGGGATCACATGACTCCGGGACACGGCAATCGTCATAAATAGGAGTCAGTTGCTAAGTTTATGAATTTTGATCACACAACCGTGGGGGATGCCGCAATGCTCATAAGGTGTGAAAAACGATCATAAGATTTTTTTTTCAGTGCCATTGTAACTTTGAATGGTCACTAAATGAACTGTTGTAAGTTGAAGACTATCTGTATAGCTACAGTGAAGAAGAGAGGAATGATGCTTTTATTATTATTATTATTAATAATAATAATAATAATAATAATGTTGGAAGGGACCTTGGAGGTCATCTAGTCCAACCCCCTGCTCAGACAGAAAACCCTATACCATTTCAGACAAATGGCTGTCCAATCTCTTCTTAAAAACTTCCAGTGTTGGAGCATTCACCACTTCTGGAGGCAGGTTGTTCCTCATTCATTCATTCATTCATTCATTTTTATGCATTCATTCATTCATTCATTCATTCATTCATTCTGCCTTCATTATTTTTACAAATAACTCATAAAAGAGCCAAGGTTGCCTACCCCTGATCTAGAATCACAAAATCAGTCATGCTTCTGGGTTCCTCAGATGATTAAAGTGCCTTCTATCACACAGCTGAAAACTACAGAAACTGTGCTGAAGTTGGTAATGCACAACCAGACTGATCTGAAAAAGGAGAAGCCCAAATTATTTCTTCCTAGTCAAAATTTTCCTTAGAATCAGCATATTTTTATCCTCTTATTTCGGAAGCCCAGAATTGAGTTATCTTTCATCTTTCTGGAAGCACAGGAAATCGCTTAGAACAAAAATAGGCTGATGGTAGCTTTCATCTTGTTCAATAGGGGCCTGTCAGATACGAATTGATGTGACAGCTGAAATAATTTTATGGCTCCTCTCAGTCCTAGCGTCATCTCTTTGTTGTTCCCCCTTTCATGTGCTCCCTGTTTCATTCATAGCTCCACATAAATCAATCTGCCTGGGCTGTGAATGGCACAGTTGAGATGGGTGGCTATGGAAATAAAATAAATAAAAAATAAATTGTAAAATAAACCTACAGACCGATCTACAATCGAGAAGTCAAACCAGGCAGAAAACATGGATTTTAATCTGATTCTGAGGTGATTTTGCATCCATTCTACATACATACTCTAGTTTCAGTGATTTAGGATTTTAGCAGATTGCTTCTCCAGGAAAGTTTTTTTATTCTGGTATTGCTTTGCCTAGAGAAGACAGCATTTGTCAAGCGTTCATGCATATACCTCAATTTGTTTTATTTAAACAAGAAATCCACTAAGGAGAGACAAATAAAAAATAATAAAAACCCTTCAGGCAGCTTCTAGAACAGGGGTAGTCAACCTTGGCTCTTTTATGACTCGTGGACTTCAATTCCCAGAATTCCTGAGCCAGCTAAGGCTGGCTCAGGAATTCTGGGAATTGAAGTCCACGAGTCATAAAAGAGCCAAGGTTGACTACCCCTGTTCTAGAACCATGTTTTAGACTTGACAATTTGAAGAAGTGTGGACTTCAACTCCCAGAATTCCCCAGGCAGCATACTGGCTGGGGAATTCTGGGATTTGATGTCCACATATCTTCACGTTGTCCAAGTTGAAAAGCACTGACCTAGAAGCATCTCTAATTTCTAACCAGCGCTTGAGAGACACAGCAGCAGTCCTCTCCTCACTGTCTACTCACATATCATCACTGCTGTGAATTCAACAAAGACAGCATTGAATGTTAGATGAAGGATGACCATATGGGAATCCATGAAGAATTGCTTGTACAATCAAATGTATTGCTGCTTAGTCAATGTTCGCAAACACTGTAGACTACAAGTGCTGAAACACGGCAAGACAAGTGGTTGCCTTTGTGGCATCAACCTAAGAAAAATCTATTAGCCTAGAAGTCTAATTGAATAATGTGGTTAGTCTGGTTTTTTGCTGGGCACCTGTGTCAACATAGTCAATAGTGCTTTGGGAACCCAGTTTGAGGATGCTTCCAAGCAAGGCTCTTCTAAGTGGAAAAATCAAGTCCAAACCAGCACTCTATGCAATATATCTGTTGCTGGGAAAGATAGCAATAGCTAAGGTGACCAATCGTCCTCCTTTAGGGAGGACAGTCCTTCTTTTGTAAGTTCTGTCCTCTCGAAAAGTGTCCTCCTACATGTCCTTCTTTTTGATATTTGAAGACTAATCTGTAAATCTCCGTATTCGATCGATGCCGATCCGATCCGTTGCGTGTGATATGACGTATTTGTATTTGACATGACGATTCGTCAAGGCTCGGTACAGTGCGGCGAGACGCAATTATGAAATGCATGCGCTCCGCACAGGAGAATTGTTTTGAGAGAGTGCGCTGCACGCAAGAGTGCGCCGCACGCAAGTGGCTTTGTTTACTTCTTACCGAAACACGACACGGCACACACGCATGCATTAGACTCACTTTTTTTTCTTCAATTTATTTCTGTCCTCCTTCTCATTGTAAAAAAGTTGGTCACCTTACAATAGCACTTAAATTATATACCGCTCCATAGCGCTTTACAGCACTCTCTGAGCAGTTTACAAGGTCAGCATATTGCCCACAACAATCTGAGTGCTCATTTTACCAAGCTCAGAAGGATGGAAGGCTGAGTCAACCTCAAGCCTATCAAGATCGAACTCCAGGCTGTGGGCAGAGTTAACCTGCAATACTGCATTCTAACCACTGCGCCATCAGGGTTCCAGAGATCACTTCCCACAATTTATTTTTCCACATTGTCTAGCAGCAAACCCAATTCTCAAATAAAACTCTTTCTCCTTCAAATCCACTAGTAATAATTTGGCTTCTATTCCAACAGTCTATTGCAGGGGTCTTCAAACTTGGCCCTTTTATGACTTGTGGGCTTCAACTCCCAGAATTCCTCAGCCAGGCATGCTGGCTGAGGAATTCTGGGAGTTGAAGTCCACAAGTCATAAAAGGGCCAAGTTTGAAGATCCCTGATCTATTGTTTATTTTTTGATTTCTACAGCTGACCATCTCAACAAGTAAGTCTGGAAGGCTTAACACAGGACAAAATAAATGTACATGACATCAAATAAAACGGTTACTAGGATGTTAATACAACCAGAAAACGGGACTCTTAACACATTCAGGGCCTCAGGCCAGGGCACACAACCAAGTCTTCACAGCTTTACAATATTTTTATTTTATTGTGCCAATAATAATGTACACGTGATCTAAAATGCTGGAATGTTTTATCATTTAAACACCCCAGCTTATCTGACATAGCTTATCAGGGTTCTCTTTAGCTTGGCATGCTAGCTTTGAAAGTGCCCAGTGTGTTTGTTTATTTAACTATTGGGAGCCTGTAGACATTCAGTTCCACGTCTTTGAATGGAAATTGTACAGGTCTCCAAAAAAATATTGTATAACGTGGGGTTGCCCCTTGTAGGGCTTAGCCTACAGTTGTCTAGACAGGTTTGATTATTTGCTCTACAAAGACAGACAGGTAGCAACTTTTGCTTTTTTAAATATACATTTTATTTAATTACTTGCATCACAAGCATGTAAAAAGGTTAGGACTGTGCAGGGATCTGGAGGGCAAAATAAGATTAGGAGTTCATCTGTATCTACCGTTCATAACCTTAACCCAGGACCAAACAGTTTCCTTGGTTAAGGTGGTGGCCTAGAAACAAGGAGACTGTGAGTTCTAGTCCTGCTTCAGGCATGAAAGCCAACTGAGTGACTTTGGGCCAGTCACTCTCTGATCCCAATCCACCTCACAGGGTTGTTGTTGTGGGGAACATAGGAACAGGAAGGTGGGTTATATAAGTTCTCCACCTTGAGTTACTTCTAAAACATACGAAGAACGGCTACGGGATTTGGGTCTGGCTAGTCTAAGGAAAAGAAGAAATAGGGGAGACATGATAGGAGTGTTCCAGTATCTGAGGGGCTGCCACAGGGCAGAGGGGGCCAGGTTGTTCACCAGAGCACCAGAGGGAAGGATGAGAAACAACGGTTGGAAATTGACCAAAGAGAGAAGCAATCTGGAATTAAGAAGAAATTTTTTGACAGTGAGGACAATCAACCAGTGGAACAGCTTGCCTCCAGAAATCGTGGACACTCCATCACTGCAGATTTTTAAGAAGAGACTAGACATCCACCTGTCAGAGACGATATAGGTTCTCCTGCTCAAGCAGGGAGCTGGACTAGAAGACCTCCAACGTCCCTTCCAATTCTATTCTATTCTATTCTATTCTATTCTATTCTATTCTATTCTATTCTATTCTATTCTATTCTATTCTATTCTAATCTAATCTAATCTAATCTAATCTAATCTAATCAAGGGTGAGTTAACAAATCTAAACAAAACAGTAAAGTAAATATTAGATATCAAGCTGGCTGGGGAAGTCTGGGAGTTGAGCTCCACATATCTCAAAGCTGCCAAGTTTGAAAAACATGGCTTTAAAGCAGTGTTTCTCAACCTTGACAATTTTAAGGCATGTGGACTTCAACTCTCAGAATTCCACAGCCAGCATTGCTGGCTGTGGAATTCTGGGAGTTGAAGTCCACATGCCTTAAAATTGTCAAGGTTGAGAAACACTGCTTTAAAGGGTTCCTGACAAGTGTTATGTGCACACCTAGATATCCTCTAAATCCAAATATCTGCGCAGTCCTAAACGAGGACTACATTCTGCTAATTCAAACTCAGCTTCTGGTTTCTAAGTGTTATTTGCAACCATGCAAGAATGGATTGCTGTTGCCTCCTGCCCAGATGTAAGATTTGGAGGGGCAGGAGTGGGGGTGGGAGAGATATACTGAGCATAAAGCTAGTCAATTATATCTTTATAAAGCCATTTTTATACTGAGGCTATAAGGATGTCCCCAAGTATCAAGATGTGACTTGAAGCTACAGTATATGTAAGCTTTAATTCTGCCTGGGATGGTAATTGCTCCTCCAAAGTTATTAATTTCTGCTCAAGGCAAACAGCCATTTCCAACCTATTTTCATGATTGGAAACAAAACAAAAGGATTAAATTTGCTCTCTAATAAATAGCCACAATCAACCATCATCACATTCCCCAGCCCAGTAGCTGCTACTTGCGTTTTCTTTTTAAAGAAACAGAATGTGCACATAATTACATGCAATAATGCAGACCCCCTAAATCAGGGGTAGGCAACCTGCTGGCTCAGGAATTCTGGGAGTTGAAGTCCACGAGTCATAAAAGAGCCAAGGTTGCCTACCCCTGCCTTAAACCATCACTGTTGCAAACATGCTTCAGCATCCTACCAGATTTTGGGTTGCAGAGGACAGGTGGGCTGCTGCCGAGGGTCGGACTGGTGCTGAAGTACCCGCTGCTGCCACAGCTGCTCATGCTACTCCGTCTGACCGCAGAGACAATCTTGATCTCCTTGCTGGGGCTCACTA